CATCGTTAGCAGAGGTTATCCTTGGGCTAGGAGCTGTAATTTTTACTTTCTTTCTATATACAGTGAAACCTGTGAGAGCTGGAACTTGACGGAACCGCCTTGTTTCTCCAGCACTTTCAAGTTTTCTGCCTTCGACAGAGTACAGTCTTCCCACTTTTCCATCGCTCTCTGTTAGTGGAAAATATTTGAGTTGGCCTTCTCCAACAGGTTTCCGCATTACACAGGTTCCGGCTTTCATAGGTTTTACTATATTTGGATTCTAAACTTTTTTCTATAATGAACATGTACAATTGTGGTAATAAGAATAAAAAACCCTATCAGTTATTAAGTAAAAACTAAGTTTAGAACTCTGTGGGAAATACGAAATATGAAAACAGCCTCTCTCCACTCAAGAAACTTTCCCAAGTGCTAAAAGAGGATGTTGTTAACACCTTCCATGACATTTACTGCTGAAATTGTTTAAAAAATACAATACGAAATAGAAGAAGAATGGATTTTTGAAGTCTATGAGACATCATGAAAAGCTGGAAAAGTCATCTACTTATTTAACCTTTTTTAATGCAAATAAAAAAAAAATTCTTTTTTACATGTTCTAATTTACACTTATGCAAAAGTTCCCTTATGAAAATTAAATGATTTTGTCATCAGGGTATAGAAGTTAATACATAGTCAAAATGTTAAGTAGTTTATTTTTTCTCTTTTAGAAACATAAAGTTTAAAATGTTTCCTTAAAATTTCTATTTACCTTTTCTAAGATAAAATATAAGTCTACAACTAATTTTATATTCTTTTGCATCACAATTTTTAAATCTACAAGCTCTCTTTTGTGCTAGATTATTTTATGGTTTTCATTCAGCCACATTTCATCTGCTTCCTGATAGAAATGCAGTGTGAGAAAGGATTTTTGAGATAATTTGATACCCTCTCCCTTGACTGAGAGGCAGGCTAAGGCCCACAAAAGTTCAATGACGTGCAGCTGAGGATTACAACCGCCAAGCTAAAAACCTATGCTAGGGTAGTTTATTGCTTCTTTAGAGTCATTTTCATTTCAATTTTATGTTCATAAACGAGAAGGAGAATTCGCTAATGCTAAACAGCAGTGTATGTTAAGGGAAGCGTTCAATGTAGTGCTTTAGATATTGTCTCTTGTCAGGAGGTCCCCATCATCTTTCTACTGACAGGATGCTACGGCAGGACCTGGCCTTGTGTGGCTGGGTGTGCCTGCAGAACCTTGACAGCTATTTTCACAGGTCAGGCACAACTCAACTGAAGTATAACGCAAAGAACCCAAATATCTTAATGTATGTGTCTATTTTTAGGCAGCACTAGAACTAAATGTCATTTTTCACTTTCCAAAAGGATCACAAACTTTTATCAGCTTAGGTTTAAAACTAAAAAAGTAAGCCCAGAATTTTGGGACATTCCTTCTGAATGTTAGAAAGGGCCCAACTGGATCTTTATGGACCAAGGTACAAAACAGATAACTCTTTAGGAAAAAAGGAGGCTCGATTTGAATTTACGTTCTTTACTTCACCAGGATACTCTTCGGTACCCTTGCTCCACAGACCTGTAAGCTCCTTGAGGGCAAGGGCACTTTCTTATTTGTCTTTTTTCCCCCAGGCCTACCAGAACTCCTGAGCCAGCGCTCAGCAAATGGTGTCACAATGCGGTTAAGAACCTATGAAGAGGGTCTCCAGAGACTAGAAGGAGCAGCTGTAACCAATTCACTACAAGACAGTAGCTTTATGCTGATCCTGAAATGTCCCAGATCTAGACAGAGTCCTATGGTTGTTTATAGAACTTAAATGAAGAAAATGATAAGTTTAAATTTCCCTAAGCTTCCAGGGTTTCACATCTGAGAAAGAAAAAGAGTCTCTACACCAGGACTTAGGTTTATAAATATGAAAGAAAACACTGTTAGAATGTAACCAAGTGCAATAAAAATTTACCTTGTCTTCATATTTGTAGGGAGAGAAAAAGAGGTGAGAAAGAGAAAAACGAAACAAAAAACTAAAGGTAAGAAAGTCTCAGGAAGACTCCCTTGTTCCATTTCTAGCACTAGGTCAAAAATGGAGGCTTCGAGGGCTTTGCAATTCCTCCTGAGGAACTCTGGTAAGAAACTACAGAGGCACACATCATAGTGATGCCTTTTCTCCCCCCAGCTCACGTCATCATCCACCCACTGCACATGGTACTTGGTGCAGAGCTACAGCAACATGGAGCACCTCCTGCACCAATGTCCCAGAGCAGATGACAGACATGTCAACAGCTGGGTCAGGGGACAGCACGACTGCCCCAAAGGATGGAGGCTTGCACTTCCTTTGTACTACCTGATCTGGTACAGCAGTTCTTTTGTGCCACTGCCTTTAAGAACTGGGAGCTAAGCGCAGCTGGCTTCCTTGTCTACAGGCTGAAAGAATCCCCTGGCAGAGTAGTCCTGAACAGGCAGGCCCAGACTTCCTAACAAGTTGTCACTTAGACACTGAAGATCCAAAAAGAAAACAAAAGGATGAAGGAAAAGGAATCTGTGCTACTCAGGCAATAGAACTAGTGAGGCATCAGGCTGTTGCCTGTTGCTCGCTCACTTCCTGGCCACATCACTATGAACAGCTGTAAGAATATAACTCAAGTTTGTTGCCAAAGAACTATCTTCACTATCACTACTCGGGGAACCAATTTCCCAGGCCTGGTTTAGTCAGACGTTCCTTGAGAATCACTACCATGAGAAAATGAGATGGATCCTGCCCTCTGATGAACGTGTAAACTGATAAAAGAACTGAAAGCTTTAGGTTCAAGAAACACTCACAGGAGCCTGGCATTCCTGGCTCCGGGCATCGGAAGTATATAACGAGGAGTAAGAATGGCTTCTCTCAGGCAGAAGGCAATTCCGAGAGGGAAGGACTTGATCTTTAAATAACTGAGACAGGCAGACTCTCCCGAGGTCAAATATCAATGAGGATAAAGCTTCGAGGCACTTCTGGTGGAAGGACAGCGGCTTAGGCTTGATGGGCAATTTGCAGGAGAGGGCCCCTGACTTAGATATTTTATTGCTTCTAGGGACTCACTATGAGTCGGAATTAACTCGATGGCACACAATAACAACAGGGACAGCAAGTTTAAGGAAGGCGCAGACTGGAGGAAGTGAGGAGGAGAGGTGCATAGGAGAGCTTGCTAAGTATACAGAGCTTGTATCTCAGGGATGAAGCTGTTGAGTGTTGTTGGGTTTTGGCTGACTCCTGTGGTGAGGAAAATGTGAATGTGAAAGTAGGATCAGAGCAGGGAAAACAGCAAATGAAGGGACTCATTCAAAACAATGAAAGACCTTCAGGATGTAAACTGCATTTTTTCTTATAAGCTAATTAGGTCAACTCCAACAGAGGGTTGGCACTAGACATCAGAATGTTTTAAAGATAAGGAAACTGAACTTACTTGCGGTCACCTTTTCAGAATGAAAATTATTAACATTCAGGCAGTCCTCCAGATTAGAGGATTTATACAACAGCAGCTATAGAAAACTTACATCTGTATAAATACCAGTGTCCCCAAGGGGGGTAATATTTCATTTGTACTGAGGTAATGTTTTAATTCTCCTAATAATTTAAGATATTAAGTATTAATATTTCATATCAGATATGAGATCTAATTTCTCCTGTATTCCATCTGAAAGCAATACTTACTTCTGGTACAGTTAATTTACTGTTTTCTTAAACCATAGATCAATTTCTTCTCTGCTTTGAGAATCAGTTAAGCTGTATTATATTATAATTGTATGCTAATAGCATTACTACTTTAGTATTTATTAACTAAGATAATTCAACATCCTTGACAATTTTCAAAGAATAATTAAATGTCTAATACTTTTCACCAAATTTGCTTCATTCATTTCATGTAATGAGTATACTTCAGGGTTTTACCGATGGATGAAGAAAAGGAAATATAAGTAAGAGTCACACTGGCTTTTCTGAAGGGCCCTCTGCTCTAAATGAAGGAGTCTGGATTTACATAGGAGTTCTCTGTTCTTTACTTTTCCTGGGTCTCTATTCACCCCTACAGTACTGAAACACTCTTCCTGTGTATTTATTTAAGATGAGATAAGAAGCTGGCTTTAGACTACGTGGGCCAAATTTCATCTGAACTAAAAAATAATAAACATCGGGGCCAGTCTAATATTCCCATAAATCATTTCTGAAGCATAATAATCATGTCATACTTCACATCCAGGTTAATGACTGCTAGACTTTTTTTTTTCTTCTTTCTTTGTTAAAGTTTCAAGTCACAGTTCAAAAAAAATTTGACAAAAAAAGTTTGTGCACAGGTTAAGTTCAGGTGGGCTGGACTGTGCCTTTATGTGTTTGCTGAAGGACTCTGTGTGTGTGTGTGTGAGTGTGCAAGTGTATCTGTTAACCTTAAAAGACAAATCTGTAGGCTGAAACATTACAAGCAAGTTTTCTGTCTCTATTTGTCTGAATAGACAACTCCAGTGAAACAAAGAAGCAGGTCCTGATGGAGCTTAAGATTTAGTAGGACGGGAGAGAGAGTGCGCACACAAACCCTATCAGCTAGGAAATAATACACTGGGGAGAAGTACTGGTTCTCATGAAAATGTCAGTGATTCACCATGGAATCAAATTCAAAAGCCACTGACCCCAACGGAAGCTTCCAGTGGAAACGCGTGGATTTTGCTTCAAGACTTTGCTTTATTTCATTTAAATGCTATGATAGGCATCATCACAGTTTTTTGTGATGTGTTACTTTCTCACTTAAAATTGACACTGGAAAGATTCTGCTAATCAAACTAAATATTTAAGAGGCCTTCAGGGGGAAAAAAAGTCATCAATTAATCAATATCACCATGCAAAATAGGTAGGATAATTCTGGTCCCTTAAAACATGTGTTGAGTGTTCAATGAGTAAATGACAACAGAAGACATTTTTTTTCTCTGTTTTTTACAACAACTCAGCATTTAAGTAGATTTGTTTATTAAATTTTTTCATACATACCAATTCTTCATTCTGACTTGCCAAAAGATCACAATTAAAATGTGAGCTGACTTACACAGACCACAAATCTGTCAGGGAACACGCAGAGTTCTGTATAAAATGAAGAAAATCAAATTACTAAAGACATCAAAAACCTATGAACCTTTATACAGAAATGCTTGGCCCCAGATTTTTTTGCTTGTTTAACTTACAGTCGTATGTATGTATGTATCAGACATGGGTCTCTACTTCCTTCCCTCCTTTCAGTGCTTGCCATCAATAGGGCAGGGCAAGTGAAAAGCTCCAGGGAGCGCAGAAGAGGCAGCAAATTGGTCCACCTGAGCCCCTGGACCAATATATCACAAGAAACCCCCAGGCAGGGCCTTTGCAGCCTTCCCTCTGTGTCAGTCTGCTGTTTTCTGTTCAGAGCTCACATTTGGTAAATAGGATCAACATTTTCTAACGAGCATGTAGACTTACATAGGGAGAAGAAGAATATTAGATAATATCTGAAAACATGACTTGTCAGCCTTCTTACTAGTTAGTTTACTTATCATCTCCTTGGTCAACTAGTCTTAGAGAGGTTACCTAAACTGGAGGACAAACTCCCAATCTGAATCAGGTTATTAGAACAGCAGTTTCTGTTAGGAATTAATGATTAAACTAATAAGGAAGTGGTTAAATATGCAATAGTAAAGATGATACTACACCATAATAACAGTAATCTATTATTACAAATTCTTAAAGCAAAACCACTGACTTCTAGGTAGTGAAGGCTGAATGAATCACAGATTTGGACTCCCGAACATCCAATGAAAAGAACACAAAATGGTAAATGCCATCTGTATCTCTTCTTCTCTCCCTTGTCTATCTACCCATCCATTCACTCACTCAGCTTCCATTCATCCCTGGAGTGATGTTTAGCTGAAGCTAACAATGTATACTCTGGGTGGGTGGAGAGAGTCTTCTCCCTGCTTCTTTATACTTGGTTGTATTGCCTGAACATTTTTATAATGCACATAAATCATATTTATAATAGAAATACAGTGACTTTCTAAAACATAAAACTCCTCTCTTACATGTGATCGACTTTTTTAAAGTCCAAACCAAAAAATCAAACCCATTGCCATCAAGTCGATTCTGACTCATAGCAACCCTAAAGGACAGAGTAGAACTGCCCCATAGGGTTTCCAAGGAGTGCCTGGTGGATTCAAACTGCCAACCTTTTGGTTAGCAGCCATAGCTCTTAACCACTACACCACCAGGGTTTCCTTTCTAAAGACAGATATTATGAATCAGATAAATGAAGGTTTTTATTATGGTGAGGAAACTAAGCTATAGAGTTCATTATTTGCAAAAAAAAAAAAAAAAAAAAAAACAAAACTATAAAATGAAATTGTACAGTTCAGCAATGGACCAGAATTAGAATTCAAAATGATCGGTTATGCCAAGTAATTCCTTTTGTTTGTGCTTCCATTTCCTCCTCTGAAAAATATGGATGCTAGAATGGCAGATTTTTACATATTTTGGTACCAGGTGTTGTATAAACAGAAATCAGTCCCTATGCCCCTTTCCTTTGTTGAGGTCATAATGAGAGTTGCATTATTATAATACTGAAACAAAGATTTAGGCAGTTCCTATAGAGAAGGGTGAAGGCAGTGGTGGTTCAGTGGTAGAATTCTCATCTTCCATGTGTGAGACCTGGGTTCGATTCCCAGCCAATGCACCTCAGGTGCAGCCACCACCTGTCTATCAGTGGAGGCTTGCATGTTGCTATGATGCTAAACAAGTTTCAGCAGTGCTTTCAGACTAAGACAGACTAGGAAGAAAGGCTTGGCAATTTACTTCTGAAAATCAGCCACTGAAAATCTTATGGAACACAACGGTCTAATCCTTTTGTGCATGGGGTTATCAGGAGTTGAGGGCTGACTTGATGGCACCTAACAACTACAATATAGTGAAGGGTAGCATTGTAACAGGTACAGGGTTAACTTGTTTTACTAAAAGAATTAAAGCGCAAGACTCCATTCAGACAGCAACATATTCAAGCAACACTTAAAATTAAGAAAACATAGATAATCATAAAGATTCCAAGAGCAAACCTCTGTAGAATTACTTTTTAAAGTCCCTGTTCTATGTCTTATATATTGAAATAGTTCAAGGAAGGTGAGATGAATTTTCCTCCCAATGTTCGAATCAACTCAGAGAACGGTCATTAGTGTCTCACTCTATTGTTGCTGGCTGCACACCTCTGACATAATTTTCTCAGTGACCATCCTGACTTGGGGAAACAAGAGGAAAAGCTGGCCCCGTCACACCTACGGAAAGCTTTGATGGCTCAGGCTAGGAAAGCATGTTCTCGTGCACACACTTGCTCCACATCACTATGCCACGGTGTGTGCAGACAATGATGAAGTGATTCCAGTTCAACCATGTGCTAAGTCACTCTGGAGACTCAACCAGAGTACAGAGATGCATCAGGAAAGTAAAGCGCAGTGTGGCTTAGCTCACTGTTCTCATACAGGCAGTGAACATGGCGAATTGAAAAAAAAAAAAAAATCACAGATGTTTGGAAATACTCTTAATTACTACTTCAATTGCATGAAGGCAATGAAGCAAGTAGGAATCTTCCTTCCTTAATTTTCATCTCTAGGGTAAGCTGATTGTGCAAAATGCCTTATGACCCAGGAAATCCGTTTCTTACCAGCTCTCGGTGAGCTCCTGATGCAGCGAAGGTGTATTCCTCTCTTGAGAAAGTAGGCTGTGATTTGAAAGCCATACCCTGTAAAATGGAAGAGGACATCATTAGATTCTAAGCTTGTCTGCCATTGAATCCCAGGGGCCCAGCCCCGTGCCTGCCACACAATATGCATTCAATAATTATTTAGCAAGTGAAGGAATAAAAGAATCAATACAGGGCCTCACTTGAGAGAAAGGGGTGAGCATTACAATCTTGGTTTTTCCAGGAGACCCGGCCATAAAACCTGAGATGGTCCCTAGTCCCTTAAGTGGCTCAGTCACTTTATCTGTAAAATGGAATAAATGAGGAGGTCTGACTAACATGCCTGAAAACCAGGCCTTTCAGATGGAATGATTAATTCAGTAGAGCCAGTGTGTGGATCTTAGTCACCTTGATACTTATTAGATGGCAGAAAAAAATCATTTAAAACCTACTGAAAGATGGTTGTATTTTGCCTGTATATGGGTTATTCTAATTCAAGTAATACAAAGTCTTTATAGTAAATGAGATGAAAAGAAATATGACATAAGTCAAAAACATTCTCCAACTCACCAGAATGGCCTAAGTGAAAAAAACAGAGAGTACCAAGTGTTGACAAGAACATGGAACAACTGGAATTCCTGTATACTGCAGATGGGAGTGCAAATTCATACAGCCAGTTTGGAAAAATGCTTGAGTACCTACTAAAGCTGAACATAAGCATGAACACACAGTGTTCATAACAGCATTCTTCATAATAGTCCCAAACTGGAACCAATACTAATATCTATCAACAGAGTTTTTAAAAAATTTTGTGACAGAGTCACACAGCAGAATTACACTGCCCCTTGAAAATAAATGATCTACAACTACAGGCAACAACAACAACAAAATCTCAAGAACATAATGTTAAACAACAGAAGCCTGGCCCAAAGGAGTACATCCCATCTGTGAAAATGGAGATATTATCATTATGATTCATCTTATAGGTCGTGGTAGAATCTCAAATGATTCATGAAAAGTTCCAGCACAGTTCCTTCCTTGCTCCCCCCACCTTCCCATCTCAGGCATAAGCGACTCTGCAGATTATTTTCCTGAGATCAATTAAAAATGATCCTGGTTAACACAGTCAAGCACTTGGTGGAAGAATCCGAAATGAAAGGTCCAGCCGAGAGAGGTGAGGGTCCCCAGGTTCTGAAACAACCTCAGAAAATAGCTAGCTCTCCAAGACAATCTTTTATCTATGAACTCAGGGTGGCAGACAGTTGTAAGAAGTGGTCCCCAGGGCCATCAGACTCTCCAAAGTTCATGACTATGATTGTTCTAAAACAACTTGTATATAAAGAATACAAATAAAAGTTTCCACTTTTACACTCAGTATCCTTCCCATACACGTGTAGAAAGATCCAGGACATCAGTGACCAAAGACTTGATGCTATGCTCTGTCTAAACAAGCTGACAGCACAATTGCTTTAATCGTTGGGATTGTGAAATAACCGTGACATCTATGAAAACATAATGTCCAGATATACTGAGATGAGCTGTATTTCTTCTTCTTGTTGCTGTTAGGTGCCGTTGAGTCACTTCCAATTCATAGCGACCCTATGTACAACAGAAAGAAAAACACTGCCTGGTTCTGTGCCATCCTCACGATCGTTGTTATGCTTCGGCCCATTGTTGCAGCCACTTTGTTAATCCATCTCGTTGAGGATCTTCCTCTTTTTCGCTGACCCTCTACTTCACGGAGCATGAGGTCCTTCTCCAGGGACTGGTCCCTACTGACAACATGTCCAAAGTACGTGAGATGAAGTCTTGCCATCCTTGCTTCCAAGAAGCATTCCAGCTGTACTTCTTCCAGGAAGATCTGTTCGTTCTTCTGGCAGTCCATGGTATATTCAATATTCTTCGCTAACGCCATAATTCAAAGGTGTCAATTCTTCTTCGGTCTTCTTTGTTCACTGTCCAGCTTTCACATGCGTATGAGGTGACTGAAAATACCACGGCTTGGGTCAGGTGCACCTTAGTCCTAAAAGTGACATATTTGCTTTTGAACACTTTAAAGAGGTCTTTTGCAGCAGATTTGCCCAATGCAATGCGTCATTTGATTTCTTGACTGCTGCTTCCATGGGCATTGATGGTGGATCCAAGTAAAATGAAGTCCTTGACAACTTCAATCTTTTCTCCATTTATCATGTTGTTGTTTACTGGGCCAGCTGTGAGGATTTTTGTTTTCTTTATGTTGAAGTGTAATCCATACTGAAGGCTGTAGTCTTTGATCTTCATCAGTAAGTGCTTTAAGTCTTCACTTTCAGCAAGCAAAGTTGTGTCATCTATATATTGTAGGTTGTTAATGAGTCCTCCTCCACACTGATGCAGTTCTTCATACAGTCCAGCTTCTCAGATTATTTGTTTAGCATACAGGTTGAATAAGTATGGTGAAAGGATACAACCCTGACACATGCTTTTCTTGACTTTAAACCATGCAATATCCCCTTGTTCTGTTGGAACAACTGCATCTTGGTCTATGTACAGGTTTCACATGAGCACAATTAAGTGTTTTGTGATTCCCATTTTTCACAATGTTATCCATAATTTGTTATGATCCACACAGTCAAATGCCTCTGCATAGTCAATAAAACACATGTAAACATCTTTCTAGTATTCTTTGCTTTCAGCCATGATCCATCTGACATTAGCAATAATATCCCTCGTTCCACGTCCTCGTCTGAATTCAGCTTGAATTTCTGGCAGTTCCCTGTCGATGTACTGCTGCAAACCACTTTTGAATGATTTTCCGCATAATTTTACTTGTGTGTGATATTAATGATATTGTTTGATAATTTCTGCATTCTGTTGGATCACCTTTCTCTGGAATGGGCACAAATATGGATCTCTTCCAGTTGGTTGGTCAGGTAGCTGTCCTCCAAATTTCTTGGCATAGATGAGTGAGCACCTTTAGTGTTACATCCTTTCATTGAAACACCTCAATTGGTATTTCATCAATTCCTGGAGACGTGTTTTTCACCAATGACTTCAGTGCAGCTTGGATTTCTTCCTTCAGTACCATTGGTTCTTGATCATATGCTACCTTCCAAAATGGCTGAACGCTGACCAATTCTTTTTGGTACAGTAACTCTGCATACTCTTTTCGTCTTCTTTTAATGCTTCCTGGGTCATTCAATATGTGCCCCGCAAAATCTTTTAATATTGCAACTCAAGGCTTGAATTTTTTCTTCAGTTCTTTCAGCTTGAGAAATGTCGAGCATGTTCCACCCTTCTGGTTTTCTAACTCCAGGTCTTTGCATATTTCATTATAATACTTTACTCCGTCATCTAGAGCCACCCTTTGAAATCTTCTGTTTAGCTCTTTTATTTCATCATTTCTTCCATTCACTTTAGCTACTCTACATTCAAGAGCAAGTTTCAGAGTCTCTTCTGACATCCATTTTGGTCTTTTCTTTCTTTCCTGTCCTTTTAATGACCTCTTGCTTTCTTCATTTATCATGTCCTTGATGTCATTCAACAACTCATCTGGTCTTCGGTCATCAGCATTCAACGTGTCAAATCTACTCCTGATATGGTCTCTAAATTCATAGGATATACTTAAGGTCATATTTTGGCTCTCTTGGACTTGCTTTCATTTTCTTCAGCTTCTACTTGAATTTGCATAAGACCAATCGATGGTGTGTTCCATAGTCGGCCCCTGGCCTTGTTCTGACTTGATATTGAGCTTCTCCATTGTTTATTTCCACAGATGTAGTCAGTTTGATTCCTGTGTATTCCATCTGGCAAGGGCCATGTGTATAGCTGCCATTTATGTTACTGAAAAAAGCTATCTGCCATGAAGAAGTCGCTGGTCTTGCAAAATTCTCTCATGTGATCTCCAGGATCATTTCTATCTGTCAGTCATACTGTGGTAGCTTGCATGTTGCTGCGATACTGGAAGTTTTGCCACTAGTATTTCAAATACCAGCAGGGTCAACCATGGTGAACAGGTTTCAGTGGAGCTTCCAGACTAAGACAGACTAGGAAGAAGGACCTGGCAGTCTACTTCTAAAAAAATGGGCCAGTGAAAACCTTATGAATAGCAGTGGAACACTGTCTGATATAATGCTGGAAAATGAGTCCTCAGGTTGGAAGGCACTAAAATACTTCTGGGGGAGAGCTGCTCCCTCAAAATACAGTTGACCTTAATGCCATGGATGGAGTCAAGCTCTCAAGACCTTCATTTGCAGATGTGACACAACTAAAAGTGGGATGATACAGCTTCAAACATCCATTAGTAATAGGAACACGGAATGTACAAAGTATGAATCTAGGAAAATTGGAAGTTGTTAAAAAATGAAATGGCACGCATAAAGATCAATATCCTAGGCATTAGTGAGCTGAAATGGACTGGTATTGGCCATTCTGAATCGGACAATTACATGGTCTACTATGCCGAGAAAGACAACTTGAAGAGGAATGGTGTCACATTCATTCTCAAAAAGAACATTTCAAGATCTATCCTGAAGTACAACGCTGTCAGTGATAGGATAATATCCACACACCTGCAAGGAAGACCAGTTAATAGGACTATTATCCAAATTTGCACACCAACCCCTAAGGCCAAAGATGAAGAAACTGAAGCTTTTTACCATATTCTGCAGTCTGAAATTGGTCAAACAGGCAATCGAGATTTACTGATAATTACTGGTGATTGGAATGCAAAAGTTGGAAACAAAGGATCAGTTATTTTTTTCTTTTTCTTTAATATATATATTTTTATTGTTGTAGTTTAAGTGAAAGTTTACAATTCATGTTAGTCTCTTACATAAAAATTTATACATACATTGTTATGTGACCCTAATTGCTCTCCCTATACTGTGACAGCACACTCGTCCTTTCCACCCCTGATTTCCCGAGTCCATTCAACCAGCTCCTGACCCTCTCTGCCTTCTCATCTCACCTCTGGACAGAAGCTGCCCGCTTAGTTTCATGTATCTACCTGAGCTAAGAGGCACACTCTTCACAAGTATCATTTTATGTCCCACAGTCCAGTCCAATTTTTGTCCGAAGAGTTG